ATGAGCCTAGAAGTTTTTAATATGTGATGAGCATAGGAATTATGACTAAGAAAAAAAAAAGCTCCACTTATCTTTGCCTACCAAAATATTGTCGACCTATGCAGTTCATAAGGAAATTAATTACTATCATTAGAAAAACTTAAAAACTGGTGGTGCTTACAGAAAAAAGACACCATAAGGAAAAAGAGCGATCCTTAGGTTTGAATTTGTCCTGAATTGCTTCAATGTATTCTTTAAGTGAAGCGAGTGCGCGGGAAGAATGATTGCTTATATTATCAATCAATGCTATTTCCACCACCGTATATTCTCTCAGCATGCTAAACATGAATGTACTCCATTTCAATTTAAAAAGACTCTAATTTCATCTAATCGCCAAACATTGTTCTTAAACACAGCATCACAGCGCATTTGCTCGGTGTATGTTAATGTACGCTGTAACAAAAATTGGGAAATGAGACACACTCAAAAACAATGTGTTCTGTTTCACCTGTCCAGGCTCGTAAGGAATGCTATTGAAAATATAATGGGACATAACTAAGAAGCCAGATCGATACAATTGGACAGTATATCATCTCGATAATACGGAATGTCGTCTTACAGATGTTTCAGGAAATATGATTTTTGATCCAGTATTCTCAGTTCAGAGATTCAGCAATGGAATATATGATTGTTTTCAAAAATATTAGGGATGGCAAAGTAGTAGCCCAATGAACTAACCCAATGTGTAAAAACTGTCTGTCGGCCTTGATGGCGCGATCACATAAATTTTCAACATTCTCCAACTTCATCAAATTCGTTGTATTCATTTCCGCTCGTGCTTCTACTGTACCTCCCAAAAGTTGCAAGCGTAAGATTATTGTGAGCGCTGTTTGTGTATAAAACTGTGCTTGTTCTTCGGATGAAAACATTGATAAGTCGAGATTCCTTTAAGAAAATTTTGATAGAAGTCTGTCAATTTTCAATCCAGAGAGTAAGGATAGTATCTAGAAGGACAGATCTTAGTTTACGTTCCGCTAATATGTCTTCTGCAAGAACGCATCAGCATGTAACCCATCTATACGATGAAGTTTTGAAATGCTATTAAAAATTGTTTTTGTACATCCATTTTCCTTACTCAAAAGGTGATGATGGCAGAGCGCGCGCTAAGCTCATGTATCGCATAAAAATTTGTTTTCGTCGAGGAAGTGGCACTTTATACTGATCAACTTCCCAAAGGACTATAAAAGTGTCCAAATAATAATCAACCTGAAATTTCTGCTGCTAAAAAAAAATTGAAAACTTTACTGAGATATAGATCAGAAACAAATGAAAAAAGCTACCAGCTAAATTCCAGTTTTGAACAGAGATGATTATGCAGCTTTATATATATGTCAACTTTCATTTACATTTTAGTTTTGCTTAATTTTAAGCAACGTATTTGGAAGACATTTACCTTATTGTCGCAAATTTGAGAATAAATTAACGAGAGCAATAGAAATGCTTCGGATCTATAAATTCCTTGTCTTTCTGCATACGCATCAAGTAATGTGTCAACAACCATACTATGATATCCTCGAGCCGTTTGCTTCAGAGCATCCTTATAAGCACTACAATGATATAAGTAAAAAGGAGAAAGAACGTATTGATTCAACTGAATCCAATAAAAACAAAACTTCTTATCAAAACAATACAACAAAGAAAGGTAACAAAAATTTTTTTAAACCAACTATTTGTAGAATTTTTGTGATTACGAATAGAATTAAGGTCATTAAACATCAAAGATAGTTTCCGATAGGAAATTCTTTCAGAAGCATTTGATGAGTCTGAAGGGTACTGGTACTCTATTATAAATATTACAAGACAAGGCACAGGAAATCAGCCTACTGAAATAAATCATGACTACTACAAAAGACTATGTAAGACGTACTACCACGTTATAGTCGGAAGGTGATTAAATAAGTTGTCACTTCCGATGATCATTTCATCCAAAATCTCATCCAAAAAAAAGAAGAAAACCTCTTCCTATTACGGACTCTAAGTTAGGTTTTGAAATTATAAAAATGAAATGGGAATTGTGACCTTTCAGCGAGTGTGGATTTGTTCTGAGGATTTCTGTCTTCTTCACGAACAGATAACAAGTCTTCGAGTAGTATATCGTCACATGGACATAGAGCCCACAAATTTATCCAATCCGAAGTTAAGAAGGGCTTTTTGGCTCTCTGCTAAATTACGAGATTTCTTCAAATTAAGTACCAATGAAAATATGCATAGTTTTTGAGTGCAGTAAATCATTCTGAGACTTTGCATTTTATTCATTCTACCAACCCTGAGAAGATCTGACATCAGCAGTATCCTGGTAAATTTCATTGATAATGAGATTGTTTGTTATTTCCAAAAAAGAGCGTTAAGCTAATCAGCAGTTAAGCTTATACGCATTTATATGTTAAATGTTCATTTTTCATCGTTAAATTCTTATCTGTTCAATTTTCAACTATTTTTCCCTTGTTTTACCACTTTTATGGATAAAACTGATTGCATATTTCATACATATTTGGTAACTACTATTATATAAAAGAATTTTGACAAAACAAAGGTCATATTTGCTTTATCTGTGAAAATAGCTATCTCCTTCATGTCGATAAGTAATGAAAGTGGCAATCTGAAACGCAGATAGTGAACGCTCGGGCATTCGTGGTGTTCTTGATATTCTTTTAACAACTGTAATTTGGTAATTATTTTAAAAATTAAGGCTTACTTTTTCTTTTTCCAATAACCATGCCATCTTCGCTGTTTCTCGAAAACAATAAATGGTATCACTCACTTCTTCCTTTGCTACTATCAAACGATACTCCTTCATCAGTGTCGTAAATAACACAAAGTCTAATAATGTTGTTAGCTATTGAAAACTTTTTTTATCTCTTTTTCCTTAATATTTTATACAATGATTGGAGTGGGACTCTCGACCGAGGCTTAAGATGTAGTGCTGAACAATATTGCAATACTGGTGTATTCTACAAGCTTCAGAAACTGCCATATGTGAGCCAGAAATGACAAGAAACATTGAAAACTTTCTAACGATTAAAGCAACTAATACAGAAAAGCATTATGATCTTTCTTCAGTAGGGTGCAGTTAAAATCAAAGACTTATATGCAGCAATAAATGATTACTTTGGAGAACAATGATAAGAAATTAAAACTGACCTTTATAAGCTAATTTGTAGTTGTGACACTCGTCGCGCAGAAGAATTGCCCGTCTTTTGTACCAAAAAGCATGAGTCGAATCTTTCTCAATTAGCTGGTTGTAGCACTCAAAACATTTGGTGAGAAGACTCTATAAAAGTAAACAGAACTAAAAAATGTATATTAATATAATTATTTTTACTTGTTTACTCAATAAATGATAGATATCATTTGATTTTATTTGATAAAAATAAGTTAAAATTAGACTTTATGTCAGTGAAAGTTCCCGATTTTCCACTACTTCAATTAAAATTTCAATTTCACAATAATACCAACAGCGAAAACCAGTGCAATTTAAATTAGTTTTCATAGAAACTGGCAAAAAAGAGACTTGATTTCTCTCCATCCTATAGAGTACCCAGAAACAAATACAACATTTATCCTGATATACTCGCAACATTTTCATATCTCTTCCAAATTCATCGCTGATATTCCCGTGCTCGCCTAGTATCTTCATTGCGCATAAAAAATCAGCATAAGCTCCACGAAAATCTCGTTCCAGAAACTTTTGATCACCTCTACTATGATAGTCGGTGGCTAGTAACCTATACTCCTTCAGCCTTGCATCTAAAATATTTATTTCTATTTATATTTGAATTTCCATTTCAACACCGAAAAAACGAAAAAATCACTGTTACTTTAAAAAGTTTGTGTTTCCAATACTACTGTATCAAGCAAGCTATGCATCTTGAAGAGAATGATTTTATCTTATCTAGCAAATAGCTTGAACATTTAGTTCCTTATTGTAACAGCATTACGTTAAAATTATTGAACTGGCTTATTTAGATCTATCAACAAACATTCCAAAAACATATGTGAAAAGAAGCAGTAAACATTAAGATCGTTATTCAGTCACAGTGATGCTTCTTGCGTTAGTAATGGATATGAAGTACATCTGCAATTTTTCTTGCTACGAAAACGTTAGTAAGATCACAGACAAAATACTGTCTTACACTCCCGGGATTCATTACGATTAATATTTCCTCTTGGCGTTCGGCTGATATTTTCCGTTATAGAATTACTCCATAATAATAAAGGGTTGCACATTGGCTGTGCCTCAACTCGTGCGTTTGAGCTGTCATTGCTTGAGACCTCTTGTGTTAAACGACTTTTTCCCGCTGATAATGTCTGCGCAACGGAGCTTTTGTTTCTAACCTTCTTCACTTTTTTGCGACTTTTGCTTTTCTTAACCATACTGCGAAGTCTGTAACAATGGTCAGTTCACGGTATTATTCACGTCTGTTTCTAAATGCAGATGTTAATGTTCTCGCGGCTTGGTGGTGTAACTCTTGAATCCTGGACCTCTTCCTTGATTCATATGTTTACAATTTTACCTTAATTCACTATCTAAATTTCTCCTTCATTTCCTTCCCTAACAATGAGTAGAAAAAAAAAAAAACCAGTCATTCAAATGAACAATTAGAAAAATTTAGTTCTCGATACATACGACCAAATCTCATGCATTTATCTTGATTTGTATACTACATATAATCAATCTAATCAGTTAATGAGAATGATTAGTGCACAGAACGGATAACTACTTCAAGACTAGGTGAAAGCAGAATATATCAGAGCAGCTTTGTGCCACAAAGACATTATAGATCATTCTCCATGTTTGAGTGGCGAAATCGCATGCAAATTTTATGTCATCCAACAATGAAACAATGCAGATTTTATTAAAATATGCTTCACAATGAAGAACTTTTGAGATCTAACATGGAAAAAAAAATTATAAAATACATCGGAAATGCGGATATTGCAAATGAAAATTCGTGAATTGATCACACTGTATTGTAGTAGTTTAAGTTATGCGCACGCTGCAACAACGATAAAGCAATGCAAACTCCAATCAACTGAAATATTCTCTCACTGTAACCATAAGCGATCCCACAATGTTCGTAAACTTTCACCTTCGTTTAATTATAACTGCTTTTAATTATTTTTGCATTCCATCAGTGTGTACAATTAAAACAGAAAAAGAAAATTTAAGGACGTCAGTTAAGGAAACAACATACAATAACTGCAAAAGTTTAAACAGAAGCTGTAATAAATCTTTTAACTGATTTATCAATTTGAACCTTACTTTAAATGTATTATTATAATGAGCAAAATCAACTGTACCTTAAATATTGCGAATGATAAACCAACCAAGACAAATATGATCGTCTGGGCAGTGAGCCAGTCTAACAGCTTTTCATGACAACCCTACAAACAATGGTGTATTATTCCAGGATGCTACACCATTAAGATGTTAATGAGCTACACTCCATTTTTTATATTGTATTTCAAAATGGCTCATCAAATTTGGCGTATTTCTGTAACCTAAATGGCGTATGTAACAGAAAAGTGGAAGTTGTTTTTTGGAGAATCCTTCAGCAGTTTGCTACATTTTCCAATCATTTAAATTTCTTCCCGTTCAAGAAATTCTGGATGTAGGCATGTTTATCTCTTAGTTCAGCTTGTCGATACTTTTAAGCAAGAAGTCTCACACTCTAAAATAAATGATTTATTCATTTCCAACTTATCTTTAATACAAAAATAAGTTGAAAATGACTAAAGCACACCAAATACTTTTTTTTTTTTTCACTTTATCAGCATTTCAAAGTAATATTTCCAATAATTTACCATAGTTATCAAAACTATGTTGCCAGAAGGAAGATCATGTTCAGTGAATTGACTACAATGACTATAAAATAAAGAAGCAAAGATTATATGGACGATAAAACGTAATAAATATAAATAGCCTCATGTCCAAGTGATTATCTACTATTTGGAATCACCACTTATCTTTGAGAATTGAACGGGGAATTAATAACAATAGAACAAAAATGTCAAAAATGTACCCACTCACGAAAATGCAACAACAAACAGTAGTTAATTGTTAATGAATTTTTGAACATGCACCACTACTCCAATTGTAACAATATTAAAACAGAAATTCCACTCATTCAGTTTTCTCTTTTCTATTTCCTATATGACCTACAACAAAAAACTAGGATCACTGAAGAACGAGGAAATAAATTTGCCAGTAACATATGCCAAGTGTTGTTGAAATTTGTTGTACTACACTCAACAATCTAAGACATATCTTTCATAATCAGTGCCACTTGTTATCATGACTATCACAATTAGCATACCACAATTTTGAAACCTTTAAACAAATCTCGAGTCTTCTCTATTTTATTCTTTTAGCATGAACACCTTCTCAACAAATCTTGTTTACCTTTCCATACAATCTTGAACAGCACGCATTTCCCGATTCTGTACAAAGTGAAAGACGACCAATCTTTCGGCTAATAAACCATTCCTAATAACAAACTCCTTTCACTCCTCTCCCATCCTTGAAGCTACCGCTCATGGCGGTTCTTCCACGAAGAACTTTCTTCACTACGAAAATAGAGGACTACCACCAAAATGCTTATAATTACTTCAGAACTCTCTATCGTCTCTATGCACCTCCTTCATCACTATTGTTTTAAATCCAACGTTTCCCGTCTTCTCAAAAGTTTGTTTCCTCATTGCAATTATTCCTAATTGATAATGTGCTGTAACTGTTGCCTCGAATTCCAAACTAGCAAAAATCCTACTTCCTTTTTCTTGATTAGCTTGAAATTGCATTGAGCTCTTTTAATGACAGAATTATAAAAATGGCTCCGCTTATCTTCATATTATGACCCAACTAATGTGGTAAATATCGTTTATCTATTTTCAACTGTGTTATCAATTATTTACCATGTTCCCAACATGGTTTGGTCATACTGAGACATCATTTATCACCAACTCTAATCCATCAGTGCAAACCAATGCCTACGTAACTGTACTTAGAATGATAATGTATTTCTAGTGTTTTGTATTTTAATGATCCTTACATGACAAAGTATCACTAGTAAGCAATTTTGAACGAAAAGTTTTTAGATTAAAGAATTATGGGACTAAGGACAACACTCTGATTTCCCCATAATAAAATTAGTATATGTTGAAATGTACAGCACCCGTCAAGTAGCTGCGAAGATTTTTTACGCTTAAAATAAAATGTGAAGAAAAAAAATAAAGAGATATAAGCACCATACCTGCGCATTGACAGAACTATTGAAAGCAGAAGTATAGTAGTTATATGATGTACACATTGGATCAACTGGTTTTATGAACCAGGTTCGTGCCTCCCGCATTTGTTTGCAGCACGATTGCGGTACAAATGATATGGTACCACGCTCTGTATTGGTTTTGTACCAGAAAGAATCATAATAATTGTGGGGACCGGTAGCACCGCAACACTGTTGCTGAAGAATATATAAGTACATCAACAAACATGCATTAGTTAGGCATGTTTGGAATTTAATTCAATATATATTGAATTGTTTACGTACCATCTATAGTGATTCATTATCCATAACTTTGCCCAAATCTCCCGGTAGGAACAAATCACGACAAGCTTCTGCTTTGCAAGAGACATTAAAAAACCACAAAAAACTACACGAAAATAACACTGATTTAATAACATGATGACAAGAAGTTGGTAACACCCAGTTCAAAAGATACAACAACTCGGAAACGAAGACGAATAACTTAATTAAATAGATAACAAAGAATTCTAGGACATAAATTTTATAACATAAAAACAGTGGTAAGACAGAAACGTCTGATAGCACACAGAAGCATATATGTACATATACCATATAAACCGCTAATTATTCATACCTTACATCCCCTAATGTTCCCGTCCTCGTAACACAAAGGTGACTAATTCCATTCGTCAAATTGCAAGTAGCAAAGCGGTTATACATTATTCAGCAATTTTTTTAACAACCAACTTTTGTCATGTTATTTAGACAAAAGATGACCGTGTAACTCAGATATATTTCAGGAAAGCAGAGTGTTCAGTTAATTCTGTTCCACACAGCATATAGGAGCCTATCAAGAAAATAAAAGAATGGGTAGAATCGAGTGAGAATACTAACTTAGTGTAATTCATAAAATTTGAATTTTTATGTAATATATAATCTTGATGATTTGGTAATTTGCAAAGTTAGTGTCAATCTTAACAAAGCAAACGGCTTAGATTTAGAATGTGTTATATCGGCCACAAGGATTATTCGAATTTAAGATTTCAAAGTGTTAGCTACAGATCTCCTGAAAGACTGAATTCCTTTAGATATTTCAGTACTTGCATTAAACAAAACGAATTTTACTCATAAAACTTTCAATATAGGATACCGTCTGATGTCTCCATAATTTACTAGCTTGAAAATGTTGACAACGTGCCAAACTCCTGGCAACCGGATTCTTTGGTGTTGCACCAGCCAACTGCACACAGCATGTACTCGGTACTATATCAAAGCCAAACTCTGGGTTATGTTGAATTAATTCAATACCTGTCCAGTAGGATGCACGCCACCGACTACTGCTCCACTCCCTGTAATCCAAAGAACCACAACACTGTTCCTAAAAACAATTGCAAATTATAAATCTTGAAATATTCATATACCATCTCAATATTAATATCGTTGTTAGTATCATTGATATTGTGTACTCCTAATTAGCACCACTAGCAGTATTCATAATCAGCTAAATTCCGTGTTACTGAAATTTCAATGAAGAAAATATAACTAACATTAAACTGCAGTTTATCAATGAGCGCTGTTACTTTGGTATTATATTCGATAGCTGGATTAAATCCATAACTTTCTCTTATCATCAGTTGCAATTTCTGGTCAAAATCACTTGTTAAGAACTAAAATTTTAAATGAAATTCCACTCGGAATTTTGAAAATTCGGATGGCATAATTTGAAAGTAAGTAAATGAAAGATTTGATAACGATGGTTAGATTTTCTATCAGGAGATTCTATCAGCTAACTGCATCATACCGCTCCTGAAGTTTTAAAAAAAAAAAAAAAAAAATGTTAAAAACAATGCGTCAAAGCTTCCTAAGAGTAGCTGTGAAAAGAATTTCTGCAAATGGTAAAATGTCAAGCAAAAAAAAAATGGTCAACGGTTGTCCCTGTGAGAAAATTGAATTTCACATCAACAATGATGAACGATAATACAACGACACTCCACAACACACCATACAATATTTTATCTTTTCAAAACCTTTAAAAAACGGAATAAACAAAACAGCAACAGACATGCAAATAGGTGACTAAAGTGTGGGAACAACATTAAATTAATTCTAAGGTATTACACAAGCTGAGATATGAACTGGAATAACTTGAAAATTCATAATGCTCTTAATCGACAATATTCTATATCTCTGATAAATAAAATTAAGTACTTATATCCGACCTTCGTACTCTTCCAAGAGTTCCACATATCACCCAGTTTTTAAAGCAAAAAAAAAACAAAGACTTTGAAGTCAAACTGTTTCTTGCAAAGTTCGGCCGCTGAAGTAATTTGAACCTAATGGTGCTGCGTTATAAATTATTGTGAATATTAAATTAACAGAAGACAAATTTAAGTAAAAGTTACATAATACTGGATGATGTCGATGAGTGGCGTGACCCAATAAAGACGATAATACCGATCGTGTGTTAAATTTGTTAAATACACACTAAGTCTATTGCCAACAAACTGCAATTTACAATTCATTACATAAAACATTAATTGATAATATAAAAAGTTACCAACCTTGTTGCGGTAGAACAGTGCCAGGCAAGCGATTGTTATATCAGCAAAAAATAAGATCAATAAACAAATCACGAACTGAAAAAATTTCGCAGAGTTTGAGGTACTATTTTTGGAATCAGTGCTCAAGTATATTTCTAAATTATCACTTAGTTCAGGATTAGTGGTTCCCAGACCTGATAGCATTACTGCATACTGTTTATTTTTTAAATTATAGAAGCATTTCAACCAAAATTTAATTGAAATTATACAGGTCTATGCTAAAACATTAAATCAAATTCGATGTTATTAATTGACAGAAGGAAAACCAACGGTAATGAGCAAACACAACGATTTTTTTATCGTACCACAGCAACCAATAAAGCCAACTATCATTACAACAGAACCAGTAATAAGAGCCAGATGACAGGCTCCACGAAGTAATGGATCATCCTCCGAGAAATCGACCAAGTCAAGGAGATAATTACGACGTGGATCAAGCAATGTCCACAGCGACAAAAATATCAGTGCCAATCCAGTAAGCTGTAATTTGACAAAACGTCAATTCCTATACAAAAACCAAAAAAGACAATAACTACGCAAATTTTTAAGGTAGAGATATTGTTCATACAGTAGACAAGGTTAACTTCAAGTGGTTTATAAACACGCAGAGACAGACACGAGGTAGATAACTATCGTAGAAAATTTGAAAATTTAATTATTTTGGGAGAGGTTACTGATCTCAGGGAGATTCATTGGAATATATGAAGTAACAGAAGGAAGTAATAATTCCTTTATTAGTAGAAGCAGTAGTGCAATAATTTGATAAAGAATTGAAGGTGAACTCTATCAGTTCTTGGTAAAAACACATAAAACTCCCTTGAACAAGGTTAACCTCCTTATATAGCAAGCAATGTGCATAAACAAAGTATATGATTTACAATATGAGGTTGACCTGACGAAAGAGTAATCGATCTAACAAAGAGATGTTGGCAAAGAATTGTTTACAAGCAGATCTAATTGCTAGTTGACAAGCCGTAAAGGACATCAGTTAAATAAAAGTTGTTAACCTCGTAGATTCAAGGATAATTTACAATTAGTGGCGACACAACAGTGAGGGTCAACTAAGTGAAGAACTGGTACCGTGTAAACAATATATGAAAGATTTACGGACTAAACATGAGACTGGAAACAAAGGATTCAAGATATAAACATTACTTACAAAATTTCATATGAGATATTTGTTACTCATATTTTCAACTCTCATATATATATATATATATTTTGAGTTTCGCGATATTAAAATCCGCGACAACTAATTGTTAATTCTCTTCCGAGCATTAGTTCATTAAAAGTTAAGTACTAGCAATATTATTAAAGTCATCCTTCAGACTGACTCCTAATTTACTATTCAAGGTAACTTACCCAAAAAAAAACGGTATAGAAAAGTAGGCATATCTGTGCGCATTGACCATTTGTATTCTCACTCATCATGCAAATATTCATTCATCCACTTCCATCTTTATAAAAGGAAAATAAAAGCGATCCATTGATAATATATAATAAAACTTCTTATGAGATGACTCAAGACGACCTAAAAAAAGTACCAATTCATTCACCGATTATAGTAAGTTGATCGAGCACACCATTTTACGAAGCGCGGAATATGACAGGGCGTTTATTAAGGGTAAGCAGTTGGATTTGGGACAGCTCCTTGCATTCAAGCGCACTCTTTCGAAATGAATTAATTGAATTTCTACTTTGAACATTATTAATTCTTGTGAAATTGTGAAATTCTGCTTCCACATCCCAAGAAAGCTTACTAGCTCCGACTCAGGTGTACGAATGATAAACGTTGGATGGCATTGAAGAATGGCAACATATATACATATATATAACGAGTAAAAGTGTTGCAAAGTGATAATTGAATTCGAACTGGTAACCTAACGAGCAGGTCACAACATACGGAAAAAATCAAAACCACCTAAAATGAAATAAGCACTGAAGTTTGAAAAATGTTTAAAATGATACCGATTAATTTGGACGATTATTCTTCGTTTGTTGTGTGTATGTGTATGTTTGCTCATCCCTAATTTTTTTCCCCTCACAAGGATTTATCCTAAACAGATTTCTTGCTCTTTGCTTTTGCCCACATCCAAAGTGAAAATTACTGCTTAATTACCTTACTACGCTGATTGTTGAGAAGCACTGCAATGATGAATGTAACATTTACCCCACACTCAAACTCCAGATGGAACGTTTAAGGAAAATCACTGCATGTTTCAAATGTCTTTGAACAGCATGCAACAAGTGATTGCTAAAAAGGGAAACTTTTGTGCTTCCATTATAAACGTTCACACAGTACGGCACTGTGAGGAGCTTATCGATTGATTTGTTGCAGGACCGAAACAAACGGAAAGCGAGCCATGACTAGGTCCTTATTTCATCGTTCTATGATTTGGGGAAAAACATATGATGTGATGAGCATCTAGCAGATCCTACATACAACTTGTTAAGAAAAAGTTACGGAAGAAGTGAAAATAAAGCTATTAATCCGGATTATTACAACAGTAAAAAAGATTTAAAGTTTGATCCCTTTACGACTGGTCTTACCACTAAAAGCACGGGAAGTGTGTGGAATCAGCATTCCTTACTTTTACATAGCCCTCACATCAACAAATCTCCCCTGACTATTATATATTGCATTGAAATATCTTAAAATTAATTGCGATGGAAAAACCGAATTCATCATAAGCATGGCAGGACATATCAGCTGTTACATGTGCAGTATTCATTTTTGGGGCTGAAAAAGTCGCGGTAAATCTGTTATCTCAACAACATTCTCTTTCGGCACAGACATTAAATAAACACCGTCCATCTATAAAGGATAACTAATAAAGGAAAAAGAACAAACACTTATCTGAAACACCGCCAACATGGAACCCACCATTCTAAAATTCTAAAATGTGTCGAAAATTGTCTAATACCTGCAACTTTCTAACTCTCGTAATTAGTTACAATTACCATTATACCCTGACCAACTATATGGTGGTGACAGAATTATCGCATATGAAACTAGGACGAGGCCTACAAAATTCAAAGAAATTAATAATACATGCGGGATACGAATAGTTTGAAAGTACGAGATATTTATTAATCAGTATGCAAGGACCGATGAATTCTTCGTCATATTTCAAAATGATTTTGTTATGCGAAGGATTAAAAGATCTGTTACCTAAAGGGCGACACTGCTAATCCTGCGACTACCATTACTGTTATTAACAAATTATTTACGAGCTGGAACACAGCGTCTTTTCAAATAAAATTTCAGTAGAAATGACTCATGATCGTTCCTCACTTGTACAAAAACGTACGCAAAATATTGCATCAAAGGGACACCATAACAATAAATCACTTCAGGATTTGTTGTAAATAAGTATTTAATATGAAACTGATCCCGGATTGAAGTCCCGCAAACGAACAACGAATAACTCGACGTCCATGTATCCAGATATAAGTATCTTAATTAGATTATGGAGACCTAATCCCTGTTAATTCTGATTTACAAATCTAAATCAAAGCGAAAATGTGAAACTTCAAGTAACCACTAAAGAATTCCAAAGAGAATTAGGAACTTACCTTTTCTACTTTGGATCGAGTGAGCAAACTGTTTGGGTAGAGAACATCTTCATTGTAGACTTCGAATATTCAAAAATTTCAACTGTCTTCAATATTAGTTACGAGTAAAATAAATAAATATGTTCATACACGAACGGATAAGTTCATATCTCACACATTTACTGCTAACAACCGGCTATAAAAATTCTGAGATTTCGACATGAATAACTCATCAGTACGTTAAAAAACTCAGTCTCGCAAGCAACAGGCCATTGAACAAGTTTAAGGTTTCAGTCGAAGAACAATCCAATAACTGATCTTAACAGTTTAAAAATGGCATCAATATCTTACTATTATTGTAGCGACAGAATTTTCCTTTATTCTTTGCAAAAGAATCCCCGACAGACTTCATAGCGATATTTTGTTACCCATAAAGTTTTTAAACCAATAAGATTAAACAAAAAAGTATATACAATTGCTTTCAAGTAAACACAATACATTCATAACTTCTTAAATATCATGAGCACTAATAACTAAATCGTGGATACACGAACTGTAAGTTGCTGAATCAAATCAAATGTACTATATTATTTGAAAAAAACTGACAAAGAATCTCCATCGGACTATACATTTTGAGAAGCATCCTCAACAGTACACATGCAGCAATAACACGGAAATTAGAGAAAAACTAAACGTATTTCATTTCGGTATTTACAGATCTTTAGATTATCACAGAGTTTCGATATACGCAGACAACCCACATTTTATAAGATTACACACTGCTTATTTGTGGTAATTTGGTGAAATTGTTTGTCAGCTTCAGCGACGCTGTTCATCGAAATTCCGTAACCGTCACTCATAACTTGCACATATTTCTGATGAAGAATTCAAAATGACGCATCAGAACTTTCTTCATAATATCAACGTATCCTCACTAATTAAAATAAACTACAAAGAAAAAAGCAGGCAGGAAAAACTTCACTATTTGTACAGATTTTTAGTAATTACACCTTGTGCAAGCGATCCAGTACAAGCAAAATTAAATTTTAAAAAATCACTTAAGATACACAAAAAAGATTAATCAAATAAGAAATTACATTAATCATCCAGTAAAACCAACAGAGCTGATAACAAAGTTAGAAGAAATGAGATAAGGGATGAGAAAATGAAACATACTTTTATTCGTTCCGCTGCAGATAACCAATCGGAAACCTTACGTTGTAATCTGATGGAACGCTCTGTATTACGATTCTCACTGCTTAAAACGCGCATTGCACTCTCAATTGCTAGTGTATACTTCGCTAATGCCTCATTCCACTCTTCCTGACACTCCAATTTATGTGCCGTGTGTGCTACCAGCTCCGCAGCGCGGACCTCGAAACAAATACAGATTTCGAGATTTTTTAAAATCAAACAAGAATATCAGATACTTCCTAAAATATTGGTTTAAAACAATTCAAAATAATAAAACTTTACCACCAGAGGTTCAAAGAATAAAGAAATGTAATCTTGACCTATTTTCAAACAAAAATATACCTGAGGCCAATCATTCCACTCTCTTTTATCAAGTGATTGTGATAGAAGGAGTTCCTCTATACCAAGTCGCAAACGTTGCTTCATATTTTCAGCACGTTCTAGATATGCTTTGATTTTTTCACGAAATTTCACTTTCTCTTCATCTTCATCGAACAATTCCAAACAATGAATGTAGATTTGCACGGCATTTGATAATAATTTTGTCGCTTCAACTAGATTCTGTTAAAAAATGATGTAATGCATAAATATAAAATCCTTCCTATCTGAATCCGCTTTTTCGACAGCTCTTCTGCTGAATTTATGTACATTTCTCTCAACGTCAAAGAATTTTGTTTTGTAACCTATACAGTGAAATGAAATCTGTTCCTAAACGACATCGTCCTTCATATCAGTACCATTGATTACTCTTGTTTGGAACGGATATTGTGTTTACAAAAACAAATAAAATAAAACGACAGTATAGTCTTTAATGAATAAATTTTATTAGGTCTTTAATGAATTTTCATAAAAAAACAAACATCTTCAGATTCAGCTTGCTGTGACTGCTTAACATAACTGTTCGCTTTATTCAACTCAGCAGATGAAGGCAATTTCGTAAGATCCACAAACGGATGTGCAAAAAACTGTTCAAATGTAATGCGATCATGGGGATTACGAACAAGTAGCGCTGTAAGTTAAAGGTTTAATTTTCTGCATATTGAGTATTCAGAGAAGTGCCTTTGATATAACACCTTGCACCGAACTTTGAGCCAACTAATACATAAAAATACACCTTGTAAAAGGTCAAGACAAACACACGAAAAGCGCACATTCGTCGGGAAATTTATAGCCTGTTGTGATAAAATTTGTTCCACAAGTTCATCATATGTGTAGGCAGTAAATGGAGGTACGCCATATAAGCATTCATAGAGAATAACACCGCAAGACCTGCAATGCAAGAGTTTAAAACTTTCGGTTAAAAAATGTTAATATAGCACAAAACTTGGAGAAGTTAAGCGTGAAAAAAAAAAAAAAAAAAAAAGAAGAAACTTAACCATAAATCGACACGGCTATCGTATTGTTCACGACAAAAAATTTCAGGTGCCATGTAAAGAGGTGAACCACGGAATGATGACGTCTGTTCATTCTTCTTCAAATACTGCGAAAGACCAAAGTCCGACACCTGTGACGACTTGTTTTAAGAAGAAATTGAAGTGAAGCTTTTAAAGAAGTAAAGTTCTAGATACCAACTACTTAACATACAGTTTTCAAAATCAGGCTAGTTTTTAATTTAGACAACCTTGATAAAAGGTTTCCGTCGGTTGGTAAGTAAAATGTTTTGTGGTTTCAAATCCATATGCGCCACATTCATTGCTCGCATATATTGGATTGCCGCAGCTAACTGACGGAAACAAAGGCGCGTAATTGCTTCAGGAAGTGAGCCGTAATGTTTGATAAATGAACCTAAATCACCACCGCCACAATATTCCATAATGAGATATATATTGTTTCGATCCCATTGAAAATCGTATAAATGAACTATGTTTCTGAAAGAGTATGCATAACATATTTCGAGACCACAAAACCGTTTTGTTTCAAATCTCACAGCTACAAGATTTCACATCCTTCAAGAGTAGGTTCAACTTTTTTGCTATCTTGTTATCTCACAGTTTCACTTGTCTTCAACAGAAGTCTCTTTGAATCAGTTCTCAATCTGAACCAAATATAAAGGAATGCCTGTGCTTTAAATTCTTCAAGATCCTTATTTCCGAAACAATGCAGTCAGAGCTGAGTTTTGAAGCATTTGCAACCTGCATGCTCATAACTTTAACTGCTACAGTAGTACGTATGCCGCTGTTATCCGAGGACGCAGATATCGCTTTGAAGACAGAAGAAAATGTCCCGCTTCCAATTCTACAATAAAATCAGCATATTGCAAGAGCCAGTGAAAGGGAGACTAGAAAAGCATAATCAAAACGTATAGTAAGGAAAGTATAGAATAAAATACACTTTTAGATAAGAAGCCTAATAAAGATTGGACAAAATTTGTTACCTCTCAGAAATACTGCATCCAGCAATGGTGCTTGGAATGTTGCACAGCTGACTACTACCACCTGGCATAATTTATTAGTAATGTATGTTTTCTACAAAAAAACTAATAAATCGATTTAAACGTTTTGTCAAAGTCATAAATCCAAGCGAAATTAAGTGATTAACGATAGTCTAGCTTACAGATTTATAATGGAAGAGTCCTATAACTGACAGTATAAGTTAAAGTATTTACAAAAACATTCAATGGGATGTAGTAGGAAGTGCATGAGCACAGGGTATTTGGATTGGAAGCTTATTTTGGATAGAAAAATAACATGTATGATGTATTAGCAAAAAAAAAAAAAAAACACATTTTAATTTTGAGGTAATCATGAGTTATTAATTTCATGATAAGCAGATATGCAGAACTATCAGAAATCGATAAGTCGACGCTATTTGTGTCTCTATTAATTCCTACTATTCATCCATATCATATCATCAACACTCATACTCACGTCATATCCTTATCATTTCATCCTCCTTCAGTGCACTTCATCCCAACATTAGCATCCTGAACTTCTGTCTGAACCCTTGTCTGTCAGTGTTATCCTCCGCATTCCCTCAAATTCTCGTCACAGTTTTGCACAATCGTACCAATGAAGTTTCAATTTACGATGGTGACGAATTCTGTGTCACACCAGTTGCATCGTTGTGAAACATTAATATCGCGTTGGTGGCAAGCAAGATGGCGTGAATCTGATTAAGATAAAAAGAGCAAGGGATTTAGAGAGAAATGTGAGAAGCCTTTAATATCTACCAAAGCAGGGGATGGGATGAAGTGTATGAGGCATTTGGATCGGAAGCTCATTCTGGACGGAAAGCTTCTTTATACAAACAAATGTTTCTGCCTTTTCACGTTATAATTCGTAGATTAATTTTCTTTTTTGCAGGATTTCCGGTATCTCAGAATTCAATCGAGCTAAGTCAAAGAAACGAAGAAATTAAATCGTGATTTTTTTGGTATTATAAGGGAAAACACCTGAAGTCGACTTGTACCTCTTGTTATCAGCAATATAAAGGCAAATTGAATGAAGCTCGATTTACTGCATGTAAGAGATTTGTCAATAATGGTAATAGTTCAAATAAGTGAAAAACCAATGCCGCAGTGAATTCAGTGTGAAGCTTTGAACATACAACGCATCGTTTGCATTACTGAATTTGGCTATGCTGCGTAAAAATATGATAACATAAGCGCGAGTCTAACCAATGTAGTGTATAAATTTGATATAAATTTTTTTTTGATAAAAAAACATAATGTGATAAAAATTTGATATAAAATAGAAACCAACTAGTAGACTTCTCATATATTGTGATCCATTTGAAATCAAAATTAATGTAGTAAAGTGAATTGCACTTGGGTAATTGCTAGTAGTAGGAACAGTGGAGACCAAGATTGGCTGGATAGCAAGTGGATGTTATCTTTAGTTTTCCAATCCAATTCGAGTTGTATGTTGTGCTTCTATGACTGACTGAATGAATAGTATTTCAGCGGACAGCAAAACTTCTTTGAACACTTGTCAAGATTTTGCTTGGCTTCCCAAATTTAATGAAACCTCCAGATTACTGTTTTAACTCATAAGCCAAATTTTATAACCCATCATAAGATGTTCTTTCAGAACAGAAGCAGATATTTGGGAGTTAGAGAAATGGAAGAGAAACAGTGGTACACATGTTCTTCTGGTGTCACACCACTGATCCAATTCCCTAATTTGTACTTTACGGACAACATAATACTTGAAGTACCTGTTCTTATTCGATGGAAATAACGCCCCTTTGAGTCGTTTCGAGAATTTCGTTTCTTTCTTTTTCTTGGTAGTGACAAGATTTTCGTAATAATATCAACTCGACCGCTTCATCTTCCTAATACACTTTTCTTTCCTGTCTTCATATGTAACAAGCACTACAAATGCTTCTGATCATAGACTAAATTGTGCTGCGTAATTAAAACAGGTTGGAAACGTCAACTATTTTCCTGATCGTTTGAAAATATTAAAAACTTGTTTCTGTAGGTGACCCCACTCGTAGCTATCCGGAGCTGCGTTGTCAGTAAATACAAATAAAACATTCAAAAAGATTTCTATGCACTACACAGGATTTTTATGTTCACTTTCTGATTTCAAGACAAGCGAAAGTACCCGCAGAAATTCATGTTTAGAAGTTTCTGGTTGGGAATCTTTTCGTCTAGGTTTAGTGACGACTATAACTGTTCACAGTAACTGGAATATATATTTTCTTCGAGAGATAAAATACAAGAAAGTATTGGCAGTTTATAGAAGCATGGTGATCAAATCCATGAATTTAGTTATCAACCTATTTTCTTTTTTTTTTCCAGCCACTTCCGTCAACTAATCTATTGTTGATATTGATATCAGTGTTTTTCATCTCATTCGTTGATTATATGAAAATTAAACTTTTCGTTTGTTTGTTATTTCGTCACTTACATTTTGCTTAAACACATATATCTAAAGTTCTGTAATTAAGTAAGGAGCGACTAAATAAATGTGAGAAAAGGCGGAAATGAAGGTAGTTAGCAAGAACATAGAGCACTTGACAATGTGAAATATTAATCAACGTTAACAGGCCGTCCTTGTATATTTGCGATGTATTTTGTATCTGGAATATCCCGTTTCTTGTCGCACCGTATGTTGAAAGAAAAAATTACTGATGGAATCCTAAGAACAACAGTAGATCCATCAGTAGTATGAACCTGTAGAGTTATTCAATAAGCCACTTGTTCAGTATTACGAATTATAAGCAGTAGTGTAGCAATGCAAAAAAAAATAATGGGAAACAGTAATCGAAAAACAGTTCTGCTGTGTCAGCTAAAAAAAATCTTATGAGTTGTAAGCGTCGATAGCAATCATTAATCTAGTTTTCCTTATCATTTTAATTCAGAAACAAGCTGGTTCAAATTAAATAGCGTGAGGTGCTCTATTCCCATCGCTCTCCTCACACACTACAAACACAAATCGAACATATGGGCAGTTTAGTAGATTTATTTATGTAATCTTTCGGAGAATTGCAAAGATGTGAGTAAGACCTTTTGATAGTACTAAACAGCGGGTGAAGGTAATCATATCGATTGTAGGTATGGTAAGTTACTTGTTTCTTAAAGCCGTGTCTAGGAAGAACATGCAAAATTGGGAGGTCTCCATTGAGAAGTGCTCTTAACCGAGGCAATATTATCGATTGCGTGGTTATGATCATTTGCTCAACGATGTAAATGCCCCGAGGAGATTTAAAGTTAGAATTTATTCTGAAAGAAGTAATGGTTGGAAGAAATACCAGAAGACAGATAACAACTGCGATGTCAAGCGAAGGTTACTGTTTAAGTGTTAGGATCGAAAGTCGTCAGTGTTCTCTGACCGAAGGAATGAATGAACGAGTCTGCTTAAGTGACTAAATACTGCTACTTCGTAAAATCCCCACCTCCATATGATCCGTACACAGGAAGACATTGCGGGCTTACTAGAGCAGGCTTCTAACAGATTCAGGTGTATACTCCTTATCATTTACAAAAGAGAATGATGATGCAAACTGCTCTGTCATCTCCTCCATCTGGACCCTCTTCATCCCCACCATTCTTTCATTGCGTTCATTGCATGTGGTACGTTTGGGATGTGGCTATCTATATTTATTTTCCTTCTCACTTTACCCACTATATCTGCTGTATAGGAGTTGTAAGAGCAGGCAAAGTATGAGGTAGTGAGGGGAGCAGAGGAAGAACTGAGAAAGTGCCTGAATGCTTATATCATGCCTGATAGTCGTTCACGTTTTTCAGTATAAGACTGGCTAGGAAATGTTCGATGAAGGAATTGATGGTAAATATGCAGGTAGAATACAAGCGCAGAGTGACAAAGGTTCTGGTAAAAATGCTTATATTGCCGGCAGGGATCGCAATGAATATAGCATTGGAAACTCTGATGAGGTCGCATATCGTCGTTAACTCCATTTATATGTATTAACATTGAAACAGCGTTTCGTGAATCTACTTTATCGATCTCCTAATTAAAAATACTTAAAAGCATATACGGTTTTCATCCTAGAAATTTGTATGAAACTTCCAATGTGTCTGAGCGTATCACAATTGCTTACATTTCAGAAAGTGAAAGATGAGGGATAGACTGTCTGTCCATTGTCATCTTTTTCTGAGCAAATTTTGAGAAGTTTAGTGGGGAGATGATTTCTTGACTTCATCTTTCATCTCCAGCAGCTTAATCAACAGATGAATAAAATAGAACTGTCGTACGGCAGTTTTGTGACTATTTACCAAAGGACGTGGACGCAAATTGGACATCACTTTTAGTCTTGCATTTACAAGGTACAGTTCTGTGATGATCTTTTTTACGTTCAATAGAAACTTTTTTCTTCCTTGAGTTGATAATCCTTTGCACTGTATAATATTCATCTTTTATAGTTCCACAAAGATGTATTAAGTTGTTTAAATATTGAATATGCTACCGTTTCCAATGATTCATACCATTTCTAGGATGAAGAATGCAGCTCGACGTCCCTTATTGAAGAACTGGAAAAGAAATACTTATGTAATGTGGACATCGATGAATCAATTATCATGCTGAAGTCTATGGTTAGTATTGCAAAGTAGAAATATTCTAATTTAATTACATTAACTTTTGGTTATAGGAAAAGTCTAATAAACTGGTTAGTTAAATTCACCAGTTTAGTAATTCTACTTTGAATTTTTGAATACTCATGTTACTGGACTCGTGGTCATATAAAATTCATAAATAGAATGTTTGCGCTTCAAATTTAGACAGGTACAAGTCCATGTAAGCTGGCTAGTGAGCATACTCTTGTGCTGCTTGTACTCAATCACAAATATATTAATCGAATTGGTGATAAGTGTCAGTTCATGTCAATCTGCAGATATGCTCGTGAGGTATACAATTCAACTCATTGGAAATAGCTCCAGAATCCATGTAGAATTTTAACCCTTGCTGTTCAACTGTATTTTTAAGGTAGATTTGGCTTGGAACAGGCTCTCATCGTGGGAAGAAATCACTGCCATTTTTTCTTTACCTAGACTGGAGATATTAAATTTGGGATACAATCCACTACAGTCATCTTTGGCAGTATTACATCTTCCTCTTGCCGTGAATTTGGAGTTGTTTATATTAAATGGGACAGATCTGCAGATGTCAACAGTGCGAAAATTGTTAAACAAAATGCCGAAATTGAAGGAATTACACTTGTCAGAAAACAGGTATCTTGTCATTTTAATTTTGCAGATTTCTATATAGCATTCTTACTGGCACGCAGTTTTTAGAATTTAATGGAATGCAACAGATTTTTTCAGAAATCTTGAAAATCATTTTGATGTTAGCGATGAAGTCATGTCTAAATCATTAGAGTCTTTGCATGTGAGCAAATGTGATATCGAGCACTGGGAAGCAGTCACTTCTTTATGGAGGTTCTTTCCAAATTTGACGTCATTATCTCTATGTGAAAATCCTATTCGCTCAATATCATGTAAATTGAAAGTAGGTACTTGTAAGTTTTTTTCTTCTTCAGTGGCGTTAAGCTTGTATGAAGATAAATGTGCTTATAGAGCGCTGATTCTCATTTATCGTTTCTCGTATCATATCATTCTCATGTCTTCGGTAGGTTCAAAAAGGTCTTTAACATGTAAGATCTTATGCCAAGCCTCGGAAAGGTGGAATTGCAACGCCTCTAAGTTAATTAGTCAGCTTAGTTCGCTTAACAAAGAAGAAAAAAGAAAAAAAAAACACAAAAAAACAAGAAAAAAAAGCTCTTTTTCTGTATTTCCCCTAAATGACGATAGTGTGAATCAGACGTTGCATTAGTATCTGCATGTATCTATATTTTTTTTAGGTGATCTGAATTGTTTGAATGGTATTCGTCGATTGAGTTTAAACAAATGTCTGATCGATAACTGGAGTTCCATTGAACATTTATCAAATATAACTACTTTACAAGATTTGCGGATCATCGCTATTCCTTTATGGGAAGAGTATACAAATGATGAGCATTTCCATCTGGTCGTTGGACGCATTCCTCAACTGAAAATTCTAAATGGATCAGTTATATCGGCTGAGTTGCGAGAACAATCCGAAAGATTCCTCATAAGGTTATTTCCTTCTCCCATTATATTGTAATGCTGTTAAGTTTTTTCATTACAATTTTCTCCAGTTGAATGCACTGCAGTGACGCTTATCTATTTGTTTTGCATATGTGCTTCGCATAAACGTTTGAAATGTGAAATTAAGCTTGGTTAATCTTGCATCTTTATTCTCTCCTTTTTCATCTCATATAGATTTTGTCGTTGTTTATGATCATCATGTAGACAAATCTCTGAGAGAAAGTATTTTACATGCTTGGGATATTTTGTATCACTTTATTTTGATATAACACTTTCTGAAACAGTGCTGAAATGAGCTGTGAAGAACTGATATTTTATATGTCATTTAGTATCTTGTTCTTTTAGGTATTATGATGTCCATGAAACTAAACCGAAAATATTTGCTAGATTAATTGAGCGGCATGGACATGTGGAACAGCTTTGTAAAGTTGATATGACTCCGAAAAAATATGCTGTTGTTGCCGTAATATGTGAGGAAACTGGGTAATCAATTTTTGCTTGATTTTTCTACACAATTACCTATTCTCAGAAATTTCTAAGGAAGCCTTTTTTAATTTTTTAGAATTCCGTTTCAAAAAGAAAATTTATTTTGAGATACAATGCAAATCTGAAGATACGCTTAACGCAAACAGTCTCTTGTCTGAT